GTACATACCAAGGCCCTAATATCATCCATTTTGTTTCTCATACTTCTATTGTTCGCGTAGTAGACATTTAAGTTAGTCGTGTTCTGAGTCCTCCCTTTACCGCATTTAGTTTTAAACTCCCTGTTTAATTTAGTTTTGTCATCATTCCTAACACTATTTCCCTGTAATCTTTCACTTTGTTTACCCGCTCCCACTGCAGTTTCCCCCACCCCCGTGCCCATATGTTCCCCTAGCAGTTTAAAGACTTCGATATCCTTTGAACTGCCCCCTCTAGAGACCCAGCCAGGGTTGCCACCCCATCCCGAGACAGGTGCACCCCATCGCTAGCATAAAGGTCCCTTCTGCCATAGAAGTTGTCCCAGTTGTCAATGAATGGGACGGATATTGACTTGCAATATCTGTCAAGACGGTCGTTGACACCAACCGCCCTTGACAACCATTCACTGCCAACTCTCCTTCTAGGCAGGACACGGCATATGATAGGGATCCCTCCCTTAGACCTAATACGATCTATTGCTGCCTTGAACTTATCAAGAAGCTCCTCGCTCCTACACCGGCCAATATCATTGCCTCCTGCACTGAGGCAGATAATGGGTTTGTTCCCATTACCAGACAAGATATTGTCCATCTTGTCAATTATATCCCCCACCCCAGCTCCTGGCAAACACTCCCTCATCCTATTTTTGTTTTTACCACAAAAGGCCCTGTCCATGTACCTTACCTGTGAGTCGTCAACAATTAAAGTTTTTATACCTTCCTTGCCATCCCTGTCCCTGACTGTACTAACGTCCAATTCGTCTATCAAGGGACTGAACGGGTTGGTACACTTAGCTGTTGTTGTCGTTGCTGTCGTATCCTTGGTGTACTTCTTCACCACCAGCTTCGTCTTCCCACTACTCACAACTTTCCACTCGCTTAAGTTTTCGTCAGACACTGGCTTTCCCTGTCCATCTTCCCCTTTTAACCTAGCCAGCTCTTCCTTTAATTTCAGGTTCTCCAACGTGGCCCTCTCAATTTCTTCCTTGGCCTTCGCCAATTCTTCCATGGACCACTCCAGTTTGGTCAACAAACTCACATACCCAAGACGGGACATAGCACTGGCCATATCTGATAATTATCTCTCGGGAGCTAACCCTGCCGTGACCTTTCCCCTAGTGAGGTCAGAACACAAGGAGTGAGGAACTTTTCAAGAGGTATAGGGAGGCGCTGGGGAAGATTAGAGATAGGGGAGGGATCCCGATAGTATGTGGTGTCTTGCCTAGAAGAGGGGTTGGTCATGAATGGCTGTCCAGGGCAATTGCTATAAATTGCCGACTGGAAAAACATTGTGCAAACAATGGTTGGGCATTCATTGATAACTGGCAACGACTACCTGTACAGTCGTGACGGAGTACACTTGTCTCGTGCGGGGGTAAAGACGTTGTCTGCATCCCTGGAGCGTGAAATTGTTACTCCAAAGGGGGGGTTTCGCCAGTAGAGAGAGGTCGGGGTAAGTGGGAGTCAAAAAACAAGCAGGTCCTGGGAAGTAAAATTGGTTACTCAGGACAAGGGGTAAAACAGGACCAGGGAAGGGTAGGTTTAAATGTATACTATACAAACAGTAGGAGCGTTTGAAATAAAATAGACTTGCTGAGAGCGGTTCTATGTACCGAGAATGTAGACGTCATAGCAATCACCGAAACTTGGATGAATCTGGCGAGCAAAAATTTTTTATCACAGTACCACATAGAAGGGTACAACCTTTTTCACAAGGACAGGGAAGGTAGGAAGGGGTGAGGGGTCGCACTCTTCGTCAAGGATACATTAAAATGTTCTATTAATAATTCAATAAAGGGTGAAATAGGAACCGAGTCTGTATGGGTAGAAATCACGGAAGGAAGAGAAAAACTAATTATAGGAGTGATTTACAGGCCCCCAAGTCTTGGGAAGGAAGCAGCTCAGCCCATACGGCAGGAAATGAGTAGGGCAGCAAAATATAACAACCTGTGCATTATGGGGGATTTCAATTTCAGAAATATTCACTGGGACAACATTGTAGGTGACTATGAATCAGAAGACTTCCTAGATGCAGTACAGGACAATTTTTTGAAACAACTAATTACAGAACCTACTAGAGGTGACAATATATTAGACCTAGTATTAGCAAATAAAGAAAATATTATCAGAGATATCACAGTAGGGGAAGAACTAGGTAACAGTGATCACAGAGAAATCAGGTTCACCCTAAATTGGGAAACGAAAAACAATGACAATATGGTCAGAGTCCCAAACTTTCGGTTGGCGGATTATCAGGGGTTAAGAAGGTACCTAGGTGAACCAGTTTCTTCGTATCTCCCTCCTAAACCTAAACTTATGCAACTTGAATCCTTTGCTCCGAGTCCTATCCTGCTCGGATCTTATAAGAACTTTATCTATATCCCCTTTATTGATTCCTTTCACCCACTTAAATACTTCTATCATATCTCCCCGCACTCTTCGTCTTTCTAGGGAATGCAAGTTAAGTTTCCTTAACCTATCCTGATATGGAAGGTTTCTAAGTCCCGGAATCATTTTGTCATTCTTCGCTGCACCGACTCTAGTGAATTTATATCCATTCTATAATAGGGGCACCAGAACTGAACCGCATAATCGAGGTGCGGCCTGACTAGCGCAAGATATAGTTGCAATAAGACCTCTGCACTCTTGTTACTTACACTTCTAGATATAAAACCCAATACTCTGTTTGCCTTATTTCGAACATTAACGCACTGTTTTCTAGGCCGTAGGTCCGGGCTTACAAGTACCCCAAGGTCTCTTTCACAAGTCGACTTCTCTAGGTTGATGTTGTTAAGGCTGTATACATTATAAGTATTTGTTCTTCCAATATTAAGTTCGCTGCACTTGCCTGTGTTGAATTTCATTTGCCATTTTTCAGACCACCCCTGCAGTTTATTTAGATCCTCTTGTAATGCATTTGCATCCTGCCCTGAATTAATTTGCCGCCCTATTTTGGTGTCATCCGCAAACTTGCTTATGTCACTGCTGATCCCAGTATCTAGATCGTTTATGTAGATTATGAACAAGAGTGGGCCTAGTACTGACCCCTGGGGAACCCCACTGGTTACACGGCCCCACTCAGATTTAACATCATCTACGCTGACCCTCTGCGTTCCATCGGTGAGCCATGATTTTATCCAATTTAAAACTTTCCCCTCGATACCATGAGCCTTAATTTTTCTCAGAAGCCTCTGATGCTGTACTCTGTCAAATGCTTTGCTAAAGTCTAAGTAAATAACACCGTAATTTTCGTCATTATCTACTACCTCGAAGACTTTCCTAAAAAACGTTAGCAGATTTGTTAGACAAGATTTTCCCTTTGTAAACCCATGTTGAGAGTAGTAGATTAATTTGCTTTTCTGTAGATGCGATCGGATGCTATCTGCTATGCTCGGATGCTATCTGCTATGCTCGGATGCTATCTGCTAACTCTCGACAGGAGCTGCCATGCACAGGCCAACCGGCCTACTGCAGACTCCTTATTTTCTTATGTTCTTATGTTCTTATGACAGTGGTAGAAAATATAACAAACCAGGGGACGATGACGAACTAGATGTTTTTGCTTAAGCCAACTAGTATTATCAAGTTCTCCACCATTATCATGCTCCACCACCATTTCAGATTAAGGTAAATCTTCACTGTAGATTATAGATATTATGTTAATGTAATTATTGGTCTCTCAATTCTAAGTGAAAATTTGGTTTCATTACGACATTTTAAGTGGATATTGTAGGGGATACTTTTATTTTGTGTGGAATGCAAAAATAGCCTTGTGCTTCCCATCCAAAAAGTTTTGGCCGTAAGATGGGGTGATATTGGCCGTGAGATGGGGTGAAATTGGCCGTGAGATGGGGTGATATTGGCCGTGAAGCTTGTCGTACATCTGGCAACCCTGGTGTAAGCGTATAATGATGACTCGGTGTTAGACTCAGAGTTGCCAACTTAGCGACTTTGTAGCTAGATCTAGAGCTTTTTGTTTTTTTCTAGCGACATTTTAGAGCGATTTGCGACTTGTCGCAAATCTAGAGATATCCACAGAAACCTAGCGACTTTCTGGATACTTTTGGACTGTCCATGAAAACTCGGTTTTCCTAATTTCGAGCCATAATATATAGCAACGAGGTTACAGGGACAATGCATTTGAACGGGTTGAACTCATAAAACAACTTGGTCAACGCTTACCTGACAACATTCGTGTGCTGCAGTCTATTTCTTTTCTGAGTGCCGATGAATGCTTGAAGCCTATTAAATCAGATATACTTGGTTTGGCACACTTATTTACAGAAGATTCCAGCACCCTTACCAAGATTGATTTCCAGTGGAAAAAACTGCATCACACAATCTGGACAGAAACATCTAACACCCTAAAATTGTGGTCAGAAGTGGCAAATTACAGAGATGCGACAGGTGAAAACCCATACCATGATCTGGCTGAAATTGCACTCGCTGCCTTATCTCTTCCGCACTCAAACGCAGATGTAGAGCGCACATTTAGTAATATGAACTTTGTGAAATCAAAATTGCGCAACAAAATGAAACTATCGACATTAAAAGCAATTCTTACAATAAAGTATGGGTTAAAAAGACAGAACACCTGTTGTGCAAGTTACAAGAGAACCTGAACCAAGCACTTCACATGCTTCCAGCTCTACAGTTGTTCACACTGCCGACGACTACGAAGAGGACTGGGATGCAATTACTATTGAATAATAGGTAAGTGTGCACATTAAACTTTAAAAAAAATAATATTTTTATTTTTTCATAATGCATTTTATTTATACTCCGTCCATTATAGTCGGCATTATGAAAATATAATTTGCATCAAATTACTGAAGGGGGGGAATAATAGCTAGCGACTTTCCATGGAAGATTTAGCGACATTTAGCTACTTTTAGGTACCAGCCTAGCGACATTTGAAAATCCGAGTTGGCAACCCTGGTTAGACTCAGTTTAGGCCGCGGGTCTCTGAGTCAAAACAAACCCTGGTGTGTTGGGGGCCACGACCAGCAGCTGTGGTGTTATTACCTCTGTGTCGGCTATGTTCACCTGACTACCACACCCTGAAGGTACGGTCTTCATAATTAAGCTGAGAGAACACGTGTTAGTGAGAATAACTGCCCTGGCTCAAGCTGTGTGGCGTGTAGTGAGGCTTAAATGTAGCCCTCACACCAGGGGCCAATAGTCGGTAAGGTTAACGGCTTTTCGATTTGTTGAAAGTGAATGAAACTAGAGTTTTTCTGTATAGCTGTTGACTGGTTGTTGTTTGTAAATAATGTAATATAATAATTACATTACCACACCCTTTATATGGTCTGGATATAGTGTAAGTAATAAGAGTGTAGCGGTCTGACTAATTACCCAAATGTAGCTGCAATGAAGTCAAATAATGGTCCTACATGAATAAATCGAACTGCCAATCACTTCTCGACTGGTATTTGGTGTCACGAAGTCACAAAAAATTGGTAAACTTAATTTAATCTGAGAATAGATCAAGTGCATGTACCTAACCTAACCTAACACAACACAACTCATTAAATTAAGTTTACTAATTTTTTGTGACTTTATGACACCAAATAATAATCGAGAAGTGATTCATAGCCCGATTTACGCTTGTACGACCATCATTCGACTTCATTGCGGCTACATTTGGGTAATTAGTTGGACCATCCTACAAGCGTAAATCGGGCTGTGAATCACTTCTCGATTATTATTTGGTGTCATAAAGTCACAAAAAATTGGTAAACTAATTTAATCCGAGTTGTGTTAGGTTAGGTTAGGTACATGCACTCGATCTATTAACTCAGATTAAATTAAGTTTACCAATTTTTTGTGACTTCGTGACACCAAATACTAGTCGAGGTTAGGTTAGGTTAGGTACATGCACTCGATCTATTAACTCAGATTAAATTAAGTTTACCAATTTTTTGTGACTTCATGACACCAAATACCAGTCGAGAAGTGATTGGCAGTTCGATTTATTCATGTAGGACCATCATTTGACTTCATTGTGGCTACATTTGGGTAATTACTCGCTCCCTCGGTACATGCACGCGATCTATTAACTCAGATTAAATTACGTTTTCCAATATTTTTCTTACTTTGTGACACCAAATACTAGTCGAGAAGTGATTGGCAGTTCGATTTATTCATGTAGGACCATTATTTGACTTCATTGTGGCTACATTTGGGTAATTAGTGGCTACATTTGGGTAATTAGTCGGACCCGAGTGCAGAGGTCTTATTGCAACTATATCTTGCACTAGTCAGACCGCACCTCGATTATGCTGTTCAGTTCTGGTGCCCTTATTATAGAATGGATATCAATTCACTGGAGTCGGTGAAGCGAAGAATGACGAAAATGATTCCGGGATTTAGAAACCTTTCATATCAAGATAGGTTAAAGAAACTAAACTTGCATTCCCTAGAAAGACGAAGAGTGCGGGGAGATATGATAGAAGTATTTAAGTGGGTGAAAGGAATCAATAAAGGAGATATAGATAAAGTTCCTATATCGGTACAATGAATTACCCAAAAGTACCCAAATGTACCCAAAAGTACTCAAAAGTATATTAAATCAGGGTAAAATCTTGACGAATACATGTTTTACATCAATAAAACCTGATTATTAATGTTTTCATTGAAATGTAGTCAAAATAATTAAATAATAAACAGCAAAAACGCTAAATTCCAAAGAATCACCTATCTGAAATGGAGATATAATTACCTATGTTTCTGTTACTTTGGGGTATTTAACATAGCCGTAGGATTTACTTTTCGTTAGGTTAGGTTAGCGAAGTGCATCACGATGGATCTGAGTTATCTCTCTTGTTAACGAACTCTTTGGAAGTTAGCGTTCGCCAATACTGAAAGTTTTTCGCTGTTTATTATTTCATCTTACAAATTATTTTTACAAAATTACACTAAAAATATTATTAAACATGTTTTGTGTACGTATAACAGATATTCGTTAAGATTTTAGCCTTATTTGCTATACTTTTGGGTAATTTGGGGTAATCCGTGGCTCCCTTCTTATATTATCCGAGCAGGATAGGACTCGTAACAACGGATTTTTATTGGATAAGTTTAGGTTTAGGAGGGAGATAGGAAGGAACTGGTTCACAAATAGGGTATTGGACGAGTGGAACAAGCTTAGCAACTTTGTAGTAAGTGCTGGAACGCTGGAAAGTTTTAAAAGGAGGCTAGATAGATTCATGGATGATAGAGTGGTAGTAACTCTTGACAGGAGCTGCCATGCACAGGCCAACCGGCCTATTGCAGACTCCTTATTTTCTTTTGTTCGTATAAAAAGGTTAAACATCCCTTTTGAGTTTATGGGTCAACCTCCTCCTCTGAACACGGAAAGCAAGAAGAGGTAATCATAGTAGCCTTCACAGTACCGTAGGCACTTGTGGACTGAGGCTTCTCGGAGCAGCGGGTGTCTGAGGCGGGAAAGGGTGGTGTCTGTTTGCCGCACCGCAGAGGGGAATATCGAAAATGGCGCAAAAATTAAATTTTTGCTTTTAAAGGAAATATATATATACACACACACACACACACACACTGGTGCTCCCCGACTTACGACAGGGTTAGGGACCCAAATCCAGGTCGTAAGTCCGACATGGTCGTAAATCTGACATAGATAAAAAAAAAATTCAAAACTTAAAAAAATAAATAAAAAATTCAAAATCAACAATGAAATACGGTAAAGTAAACGTATAAATAATGAGGAATAGATACAGTACAGTAAAAGTAATAAGTAATGAGGAATGGATACAGTGTGACTGAGCACTTACCTTAAATGTAGTCAGCTGAATGCACACAGGGCCCCCATAATTTTCTATTTACAGGATACATGGAGACTATATTAATTGGAAGAAGCGGAAGAGGAGACAGGGTTGGGTGGGTCGTCAATGTCGCTTTCTACAGACAGGTTTATGTGCTCTGGAAACTTGCTGGTTGAAGGTATTGGATCATCTTGAGGGAGTGAAGAGGCAGCACTGGTGGGGCGTGAGGAGACAGCACTGGGGGACTTCTTGAAATAGATGTCCAATTTAGACTGCACAGTTTGCTTTTCTTTTCATTATAAATTTCTGTAGCAAGCAAGTGCATCTTGGATCATTCTGTCAACTTTGGCATAACGCTCATAATTTTGATCCATGCCATCAAACATTTTTATTGCTTTATTAATTGTAGCAAATGCCTCTGCCATATGTTTCACTGAAAACTTTTTGGGGGGTGCAGGTTCTTCTACATTTTGTCTCTCTTCTTCCTCTGCAATTTTCTGTGCATCTAGTTCAATAAGATCCTCGTTACTGAGCTCTTCTGCTACACTTTCAACCAACTGTCCAACATCTTCATTATCAATTTCTAACTCCAGCTGTTTACCTAACTCCACTATCTTGTTACTAATATCTGAAATAACTTCTTTTTCATTAAATCCTTTGAAACTGTTCACATATCTTTTCAGGATTTTCTTCCATATTCCATTCATGCAATGTTTTGTAACCTGATCCCATGCTGCACTAATGTTCTTTATACATGACAAAATGTTGTACTCCTTCCAAAACTCTCTGAGCATTTTCTCACCTTCAGTAGCAGCAATAGCCTGAGCGAAGGTCGTGCGTAAATAATACGCTTTAAAGGCAGCAATAGCACCTTGATCCATGGGTTGGATGATAGAGGTAGTGTTAGGTGGAATGTACACTACCTTAACATCAGGGTGCATGTCGTCCAGGTGTGGTGGGTGACCAAGAGCATTATCCAAAATCAGTAAAATCTTGAATGGAATCTGTTGTTGCAGACAATACTCTTTGGCTCGTGGAATGTAACAAGTCATGACCCAATCCTCAAACAGTACTAGGGTCATCCAGGCTCTCTTATTACTGCGATAAATCACTGGCAGTGTGTGCTTGCTGACATGTTTAAAAGCCCTGGGGTTCTCTGAATGATAGATCATGAAGGGCTTTATTTCAACATTCCCCCCCAACAGAAGTGTAATTCTGTCCTTGAATCCTGGCATTGTTTTCGCCTCTTTGTGGATATATGTCCGCTCAGACATGCGCTTCCACAATAATCCAGTCTCATCCACATTGAATATTTGCTCAGGCAAATAATTCCCTTCCACAATCACATCATCTAACTCCTCCTTAAAAGCTTCGGCAGCACCAACATCGGCACTAGCTGCCTCTCCACTCACCTTAACATTGTGTAGACTGTAGCATTTTTTAAATCTATCAAACCACCCATGACTTCCTGTAAAGGTTTGATCACATTCATCTCCTGCCTGCTCCTTCAGGCTTTGGAACAGACTTCTTGCTTTAGCCTGTGTGGTTAGAAGGCTTAAGGGTACACGCTTCTGTATCTGGTCTTCTCATATACCAATAATTTTTCCATATCGTGAATAGGACCTTGTCTTCTCTTTGATATTATAGTTCCCTTTATAGGTGTTGTTCCTTTCACTACTTCACGAATACATTCCTTGTCCTTCAGAATAGTGGATATAGTCGAGTGTGAGAAACCTAGGTCGAGTGAGATTGTTGGTACTGTTTTTCCATTCTCATGCTGTGTTATTATCTTCATTTTCATCTCAAAAGTAATTGCCTGTCTCCTTTTCTTTGGAACACCACCAGCACTCTCACTTTTACGCTTTCCAGTCATTATAAAGTCAATTAAATACAATAATAACGAAAGTTCACAGCGGGATCAGTATAGGATACGATAGCCAAACACCAACTAAACGCTCCACTGAGTGAGTGTACCCACGAGGCAACCCGAGACGCGCCACCCTCTCTCCCGGGACGGAAACGTTTCGGTATAGAAAATGCGCGCGTCATTTGAAAATATTTTGAATTCACGATAGTTCACGACTGCGCGGTCGTATGTCCGGTCTGGTCACATTCAGGTGTGTGTGTACCCCTTACGCGGAGAGCGGCTGGCGAGCAGCGCCATTTTTGATCCAACCTCCGCCATCCGCCATGTTGTGTAAGTGGTGAGAGGAGGTGCCTCCGGTCACCCAGTCTAAACATTACTGAGTTCTTCACCGCCACCCACACAGCGGCCCAAGTCAGTGATAGTGATAATTATAGTGAGGATATGGACTTTGAGGTTTGACGAGGCCCTGCAAGCCTCTGTGGTGGATAGTGATACAATTGATACAAGTGATACAGGTGAGCCAATAATCTGCCT